CTCCTCCTCTCTCTCTCTCTCTCTCTCTCTTTGAAAATCATGCCAAGTTGACAATTCTCTCTGTGCAGTTGGAAATAGATACATGTAGTTAACAACTCTCCATCTCTCTACAGTTGAAAATCTCTCTCTCATGTATCCACAAATTTGACCCTCTCTCTTAGATCCACACATTTGGCCATCTCTCTCTATGAAAGGAGCTTGGCATAGGGAAGCTTTTGTCCATTGAGTTTTGAGAGAGGATTTTCTCAAACTTGACACTCTTCCCCGTGAATGTAGAGGTGGCAATGGACCCATCAGATCCGGGACCCAACAACCGATCTCAGGTCCGGATATGGGTCCAAATTTTGGATCCGAAAGGTCAGGTCTGGGTTTGGGTCCAGCCGAACCTGACCCGAATAATGTGGGTACTATAGGGTATTCATATACGTTGCCAATTCGTTTATTTCTCAAGAATTCTCAGTTATTACATACAACAAAAAAAAGAAAGAAAAAGGAGGGGGAGGTGGAGGTGGAGGGGGAGGTGGAGGTGGAGGGGGATGGCAATGGATCCGACCAGACCCGGGATCCGATGGGTAGATCCCACCTCTGGTCCGAATATGGACCCGATTGGTTGCCACCCCTACATGAATGGGGCCTTATGTTTCCATGAAAAGCCGTGCACTTTTCAAAAAATTGCATGCTACTCAGTACATCACGTGAATCTACTTCACTTCCACTAGCGAGTAGCAAACATCTTCCTTTTTCTTCACCTCCTCATCCATCACCTCTGCCTAGAACCTGTTCTCATCTTTGGCAACTCCTGACTAACTCTGCTTAAACCCTGTCCTCAAATTTAATATTTTTATCAATATAATGTACTTGGCCTTCACAAGTTACCAAAAAGTGAAGTTCAAAAAATGGTGACAGAGGAACGGAATTGCGATGGCCCATTCTTGTTTACGATGGTAACGGGCGCTATAAACGAAAAAATGATGGGTGGGGTTAAATAGAAAAATGGGTTTAAGATTCATGAAATAAACGTGAAAAAATTTTATTTTAGCTGCCAATCTATTCCAACCCTCCTTTTAAAAAATAAAAAATAAAACAATAGGAAAAAAGCCTTATAACAATGGCAAGATGTTGCCAAAATTATATTCTTTTTTCTTAGTTTTTCTAAAAAATCTGTATTCCTGATAAAGGCCTTTCTCTTTGTTATTTCCACTACAAATGCCCCACCATGATAAATTTTTCAAAACACACCAAAAATATCAACTATTGAACACTACTAACAAATATTCCAACTCATGATCATCCATATTCTTACGGAATTTTTTAAATAAATAAAAATTAGTAAAATGTTAAATATATCTTTAAGGTGTATTTTGATCAATTTTCTTATTTTATTATAAAAAATAAAAACCCATTATAAGAGCATTTTAGCATTTACAGAAGGATGTGGTTTGCATAAGGATGCAACCTTAAACAATCACATTAAAGTGCACCTCAAACTCTATCGTGAGATGGAATTGTGATGTCAAAATTCTTTGGATGGTTTTAGAATCTATTTTTATCTCTAATTATAAAATTCTAAACTCTAGAAGTGGCTCAAATCATGCATATGTATAAATACATGAAAATCTTGAAAATGAACAGTCAAGATAATAACATATAAAAGTAATACTATTTTAGGATGATCATCTCGAAATCTATCAATGTCTATATATCTTGATTTCGAGATGATCAATTTGATGTTTCTCCAACATGAAAACAAACTTTTTCATAGATTTTAGAGGTCCACCTTAATTCTACATTTTAAGGTGTCAACCTTATATAAACTCTTTCCTTTACATAATGGGATTATAATAGCGGCTGTTATTTTGTGCACAGACCGTTCTTTATTCCCCTACGCATTCAACAACAGCCAGGGACCAGTTCCTCTATAACGGCCGTCATTTTAGGTATAGATATCATTTTTTGACCGAAATGACCATTTCCCGCTTTTCAGGTGGACTTACTAAGTCGACTGCAATCACCGTACCTGGTTCAGTTGATCGGATATTGTGCTGACGCCAACCACCGAATTCTGGTTTTTGAATTGATGTCCAACGGTAATTTGAGAGAGCACTTGAATTCCAACGGTCAAGAAGGGAGTCCTGCTTATTTAGATTGGGGCACTAGGCTAAGGATAGCCCTTGATGGGGCCAAGGGCCTTGAATACTTGCATGAGAAGTCCACCCCTGTTATACATAGGGATTTCAAGACCACCAATATCCTTTTGGACCATGACTATAGGGGGAAGATCTCTGATTTTGGCTTGGCAAAGTTTGGGTCCCAGAAGCCCAATGGCCTCGTCTCGACTCGTGTGCTCGGCACCACCGGATATGTTGCCCCAGAGTGAGTTGCTAAGTGCTTGATTTTGGGGCATGCACACACACAAAAGTGATGCTTTGATTTGAATGGTGCATGTGCCATGCAACATGGACATAGTTTTCCATTGATTTTGGGGTATCCATACTGCATCCAAATCTAACACTTTGAAAACTTACGCACTTCCTTTTGACATTTCTAGATGAAATATCACTATAAAAGTGCTCAATTATCACTTAAAATCGCACTTCTCCCTTATCTATGATGTTCAAACATGTTGTGTCACAAAGGCTAATTTTGAGATCGGTGTTTTCGGTCCTCACATCAGTGTTAACCGCTGATGCCATTGCACCACAATGTCTGTATGTTCATGAATGAGCAGAACCAAAGTCTCTTTAAGGGTACCAGTTTCCTTTCGAGTTATAGGGGTATTTTCGTTATTTTGGATATTGTCAAGCATTGCTTGTTTATTTTAGAGATTGGGATGTCTTATTTATTTGAACATAGCATAAAGGGCCACATACTATAACCTAACAAACTCCAAGAAACCATAATCCATGGGTTAACATCATTCAATAAAACAGGGGAACAGCAATCGAGAGAGTGGGGTCCACCTCCCAAACTGTGAACTGCAGTTCTCCATTGCTACGTTAGTTTATGGAATGCTCTTCCCATATTTCACACCTTAAGTGTATGAGACACAGCTAAGCATGGGGTTTGATTGGTTAAGGTGCTGACTATTGCAATATTATGTCTCAGGTCCAAAGCCTACTGTCGAACTATGAGATATAGCTAACAAAAATTGAGTGCTGTAGGTATGCGATGACTGGAAAATTGACGACAAAATCAGATGTTTATAGCTTTGGAGTGGTTCTTTTGGAGCTCATAACTGGGAGGGTCCCAGTTGATATGAAGAGGCCAGCTGATGAGAGTGTGTTGGTTTCATGGGTATGCAAATTACAATTACTTCTAATTTTACAATGTAATATAACATGTCAATTATAGATCTTCAAAAGCAAAAAAAAATATCTTCCTAACTCAAAAGTGATCAGTAGACTCACAGGATCAATCATGTGCTGTTGTAACAGGCTCTCCCTAAGCTGACCAACAGAGAGAAGGTGCAGGAAATGGTGGACCCTGTTCTTGAAGGACAGTATTCATACAAAGAGCTAATACAGGTGACTACCCTTACTCCAACAAACTGAAAATAAGGAGAATAGAACATAAATGTCAAAAATATATCTACATATGCGAGCATTTGTCAATGGAAATACCCCTGGTTCTTTCTCGAGTACTTTATTTTACATCTATTTTTCTTACCGAACAGTATACAACAAGACCCTTCGTCACTAAAAGGTAATAGTTTCACTATATATGACTTTTCTTATTCTTGCTATGTCACTGTGCCCCATAATATGTTTTAAATGAAGGCATGAATGTAGACATGCATACATTTAGGCATATGTGGAGGTAATTAGGCATTCTCGTGGTATTTGTAAATGTATGTACAGATGTATGTATGTGTGTGTATCCATATAGCGATATATGTTGGAAGTGTGGATGGAGCCACTCGCCATACTCATGAGTATACATACATGCATGGGTGGAGTTGCAGATAGCAGCCATTGCAGCCATGTGTGTGCAATCGGAAGCTGATTACCGACCATTGATGACCGATGTGGTGCAATCCCTCATTCCTCTTGTCAAGCAGAAAGCTTCTGCCCTCATTGCCACCACTCCAAAACTTGGGCACCAAATAGTCACCCTCAAGTCCTCTTCCATTGATAGCGAGAGCAGTGGCACTAATAGCCCCCACTTCTAGGGCTTTTTTTTTTCCCTTTGAGAGAGAGAGGAGAGATTGTACAGATCTTGTTCCTGAAAAGAGTGCTGTAATTCTTATTTTCCATGTTATATGAAACTTATGGTGCTTCAATCATCTCTTTTTTTAGTTGGTCTTACTATCCTGATGTCCTCAACCGAAATTTATCATTTGATTTGTAAGAATTTTCATGGTTTATTTATGTACAAAATCTTTTCCTTCGCAGCAAATATCTACAAATTTCAGTGGTTCTGTGTATGCATCGCAAGACTTGGGCCATGGCATGGACCATTGATAAGCCTAAGAAGCACTGGTTCACGGCATGAGAATTTTGCCACTAAGAAAAGGTAAGAATGACAAGTTTAGGAGATGACGCACTTCTTAACATGGAAGAAAACTGTTAAGAGATGAACGAGTGAGACAAAGCAAAACCAGCAAGCTATAAATAAAATAGAAATGATGAATGTACTACAAACCCATTTTGACTGGTATAGGCAAAGAATGGTTCAACACCTCGCTCTCAAACAGCTGAACTCTGTCTGGCCAACTCATCCGATGCCATGCTTATGCCTTCGATTTCTTGATGCATTCTATCACCGGCCATAAATTCACGAACCGTTCCATTGACTTCGATCAAACTACACCCTGGTGTTGTCCTAATTCGTCTCTTTCTCATGAATTTTCTCACTCCTCTTGCATCTTCAGCCATACTAGACGCGGCATAGAGGTTAGAGAGGAGCACATAACGCCCCCCACCATGATCATTAAACTCCATGAGCTTTTTTCCCACTCTCTCTCCCATCTCAAAATTCCCATGAATCCTACATGCCCCTAAAAGGGCACCATACATGACATGATCTGGTTCCATAGGCATCGAATCCATGAGCCTCTTGGCCTCCTCTAACAAACCAGCTCGACCTAAGAGATGTACCATACATGTATAATGATCAAGCTCAGGCTCAATCTGATACTCACTAATCATGGAATCAAAGCATTCCCATCCCTTCTCAACCCAACCCATATGGCTGCATGCACATAGAACAGCAACAAAGGTCACACTATCAGGGGTGATTCCATCTCTCTTCATCTGCTCGAAGGTTTTGAGGGCATCTGTGCCATGACCATGCATGGCCATGCCAAGCACCATTGAAGTGTATGAAAAGACAGTCTTTTGGGGCATTTGGCGGAAGATTTGAATCGCGTTTTCGACGTCGCCACATTTTGAATACATATCAATGAGAGCTGTTTCGAGAATTGGATCGAGCTTGAGATTGTGTTTGTGAATATAAGAGTGAGCCCATCTACCTTCATCAAGAGCTCCTAGCTGAGCACAAGAAGAGAGCACACTAACCATAGTTGCATGGTTAGGCTTCAATTTTGATACTTGCATTTCTTGAAACAAGGATAAGGCCTCTTTGGGCCTTCCACTATGAGAATATGCAGACATCATGGTGGCCCAAGATATAGAGTTTCTCTCATTACATTCATCGAAAAGCTTCCTCGCCTTCTCTATCTGATCAAAACTAGCATACCCTTTAATCATACAATTCCAAGATACAACATTTTTTTCAGGCATTTGATCAAATAACTGGCCTGCAATAATAATTTTGCCATTTCGAATGTACCCATCTATCATCGAATTCCATGAAACAACATCTAAAAATTCAGGAAATTCATTGAACAAGCAACTTGAACTTTCTAATTCACCATTAATGGAATACATAGATATTAAAGAATTGCGAATATAAATATCAGTTTGGAACCCAAACTTGAAGGTTTGACAGTGAGCTTGCCTACCCAAATTCAAAACCAATTCAGAATTCACTGCACAAGCTTGTACTAGAAATGTGAAGGTGAAATTATTGGGAGAAAACCCAGTGTGTAGAAGTTGGATATAGAAGATGAAGGCCTTTTGCGTGGTTTTACCTTGAGCAAAGCCTCTGATCATGGAGTTGCAGAGAAAGAGATTTTCTTTGTTGTTGGATTTGCATAATTTGGAGAAAGCCATCGATGCATAGTCCATATCGCCTGGTTCTTGGCGAGAAGAGATTAAGATTATGGGGCGAGCTATTGCAGGGTGATGGGCTAGGCCATGGGTTATGAGGTGGGCGTGGGCTTGCTTGAGCTGGGCTGAGGTTAAACATTTTTGGAGGAGTGATATGGCGATGTGCTTTGGGTTTCCACCGATCATTAGAGAGACAGATTCATGGGATGCGTCTTTATAGAAGCAGGGACTCAAATTTGCAGAGAGAAGGTTGTTAATATGGGATGGCACTGAGCATCATACTGTACTTGGAAGATGACAAGGGTAGTTTAGTCATATAAAAATTAAAGGAAACCAATTCGTTTACTTCACGCATCACAGAACGGATCTTTGCTAGACGGTTTCAAATGTATGACTAAAATACCCCTTGTTTTCTCCCCAACTCTCATCTCTCTCTCTCGAAATTCAACTGAAATACTCCCTCCCATCTCTCTGAAGAAATCGTGTACTCATGAAAAATGCCACAAGACGCATTTCTCTCCTCAGAGCCTTCACACTATTTCACCAAAAAACCAGACTAATTTCATCGATTTCTCACATTGAGACCACCATGAAACTCTGCAAAAACAAGGCCCAAATCACCCAAACCCATGCCCAATTCATCACAAATGGTCTTGCAAATGATCCTTTTGCACTGAGCAAGTTCATAGAACACTGTGCTTTCTCCATTTGTAACGCACTCCAATACGCCTTTCTGATTTTCTCTCACATCCCACAACCTGACACTTACACCTTCAACACCATCATCAAAGCCTATCTTCACCATAACCTCCCCTCTTCCTCTCTCTACCTTTTCTCTGACATACCCAAGAAAACCCCAATTAAATTCGATAAGTTCACGTTTGTGTACCCCATTAAAGCTTGTTCAATTCTCCAAGCAATCCAAGAAGGTAAACAAATGCATTCAGTTGTTATTAAATCAAACTTTGATTCAAACCCATTTGTTTATAACGGTCTAATTCATATGTATGCTAAATTCAGTGATATTGAGGGTTCTCGTAGGCTTTTTGATTTGGGTTTTGCTCTTAATTTTGTTTCATGGAATATAATGATTGTTGCGTATGTGAGATTGGGCCTTTCTGAGGAGGCACGAGAATTGTTTCATGAAATGCCTGAAAGAGATTGTGTTTCTTGGACAACCATGATCATGGGTTGTGTACAAACTGATCGTTACAGTGATGCATTGGCCTTGTTCAACCAAATGAGGGTTGTTTGTGTCACACCGAATGAGGTCACTCTCTCTAGCATAGTCTCAGCTTTCTCTCACCTCCAAAAAGCCAGAGAAGGCAGGGGAATTCACGCTCTCTCCCTTAAAAGTGGGTTCGAAGGGCGTGTCCTCATCTCCACTAACTTGGTTCACATGTATGCCTTGTCTGAGCATTTGGAAGAAGCTTGTCGGTTATTCGAGGAGATCCTGGAACCAAATATTGTTACGTGGAATGTGATTCTTAATGGGTTTGCAAAATTGGGTTTTCTCAACGAAGCGAAACAAGTGTTCGATAGAATCCCTGAAAGAGATGTGGTCTCTTGGGGTGTAATGATAGATGGGTATTTGTTATCGGGCCAGTTCAATGAAGCCCTGGAGGTCTTTCATGAAATGGGGAGGGCTGGAATGAGGCCCAATGAAGTCCTCTTTTCGAATTTGCTCTCTAGTTGTGGGAATTTAGCAAGGCTCATTGAAGCGAAGCAACTCCATGCTATGCTCACAAAAATTGGACTTGATTCCTTTGTATTTTTGCACACGACGATTATCCATATGTATGCATCTCAACGGCAGATGGCCCTTGCTCGCCTTCAATTTGAGTTGGGTCCAAAGCAAAGCATCTCATCTTGGAATGCTCTTTTAGCAGGATATGTGAAAAATGAAATGCTAGACTATGCTCATCAGATTTTTTATATGATGCCCGAGAGAGATGTGTTCACATGGAGCTCTTTGATTGCAGGTTATTCTCAATTTGGTCCTTTTGAAATGGCACTGAAACTCTTCGAGGATATGAAATCAGAGGGCATTCAACCAAATGAAGTAACAATGGTGAGCGTCCTATCTGCGATAGCTAATTTGGGTGATCTTGAGAGAGGTAGATTGGCTCATGAATACATAAACAAAAATTCAATCTCATTTAATGAGAATCTTGCTGCCGGGCTTATCGACATGTACGCAAAGTGTGGGGACATTATGCATGCATTGGAAGTTTTCTATCAAATTAAAGGCATAAGTCATGATGTCTCACCATGGAATGCTATGATAATGGGATTGGCTATGCATGGCCATGCAGATAGATCCTTAAGCATCTTTTCGGACTTAGAGAAAACTCATCTTAGACCCAACTCAATAACCTTTATCGGGGTCTTGAGTGCATGCAGCCATGCCGGGTTTGTCGATTTGGGGCGTCAAATTTTCTCTCGAATGAGAAGTAAATATGAAATTGAGCCTAATATAAAGCATTACGGGTGCATGGTGGACATCTTTGGTCGAGCAGGGCTCTTGGAGGAGGCCGAAGAGCTCATCAATGGCATGCCTATGGATGCTGATGTTGTGATATGGGGGACCATGTTGGCTTCATGCAGGACTCGTGGAAATGTCAAGATAGGAGAGCGAGTGGCCCAACACTTGGTTGACTTGGAGCCTAACCATGGTGGTGGCCATGTATTGTTGTCAAATATTTATGCAGAGGCAGGAAGATGGTGTGATGCATCCAATATAAGGGAAGCTATGCGGGCAAAGGGCGTGAGGAAATTGACAGGATGTAGCGGTGTGCTGTGATGGGTGCGATTGCATAAATGGGTTGCTTCAATACGGCTCATCTTGTGGCTTGAGCCTTTTGGCCGACCCATTGACTTATTTCTGATCATGGGTCACTTGAATTGGACAAATAAGCTCAGATGAGCTCATTTGTCCATCTGATGCTTACATTCAGTCATGAAATCATTGAAATAACGTGGACCACATAAGCTATCTTGCCATTCCTTAGGCTGAATATATTGGCTTCTTTCGATTGCCTATCTTATGGATATGTGGCTGGCTGATCGGAAGTGGTTAGCTTAGAGTTTTTGTGTAGATTGGTTCAACTTGGCCCAAGCATGTTCCTTTTGGCTTTGATGTGGATGTGGCATGAATAGGCATTTCAGAGCAAGGACTTGTGCTCGGACTAACCAGGGTCCTAAGCCCAAGTGAGCCACAGAATCAGCTGAGCTTGAACCTATCGGCAAAGTTACACAGAGATAAAGACGGGGGAGGGAGATCTTGGAAGATTTCTCGCTATTTTTGGGGCTTTTAATCCGGAACCATACCGAATCCAAATGACCCCCTATTCCGCAACCAAGTCATCAAATTTTGTATCACTTTTGAATCATATGAACTTGGTTGGTCGTTAGCTCATGCTTTGAGCTGTTCGGAATTGGTGAGGCAGATGGGAGTAGCTAGAGCCTCTTATGGGTTCATATACTTGGCTCAGCCTCCAACTTTGAAACAGGCAACCATAGGGAGCCCTACAAAGCAACACGGCCTTCCCATTAGGAGGCACCATTTTCTTGAGCTCATACTGTAAAAAGTCATAATCAGCCCTAAGCTGCGCACCACCTTTCATTGGCAAACCATCAATACTCAAAGAAAGCTTCATTTTTTCCTCACCCTGCAACCGTAAATCAAATTCTATGGATTCCTTTAGTCCCCTGCAATCCGGTTTTCTGCATTTTCGAGAATGACACCGGTGGCACAATTGGGAGAGACCGAGCATAGCGTGAGAAAGGAGAGAGAATAAGCAGTGGGGCATTTTTGGTGAGGAAGGGCAATGTGAGGGAGATGATTTGGAGGAAGAGAGAGAAACATATATAATGAAAAAGTTTAGGTGCACCTCAAAAATCAACTTGAAAAAGTTATTCTACATTTGATGGAGATGTATGAATATGAAAACGGAAAACAAGATTTCTAGTTCTTAAAATAGCATGTATCATTTTCAGAATTTTTGAATTATATATAGATATGTTCAACATCATTTTCGGAGATTTGAGTCTTTTAATTAAGAGTGAAAATATATTTTCATGCCATCAAAATTAAAAGTGAAAATAGATTTTTATGCCATCATAAGATTTTTCGCACCAAAACTGCATCTTTTGGAAAGATTTAGAGATGCGCTCATGCTTATTCAAACTTCACCCAATATAAAACATAGGAACGGAAAGATTTAGAGATGCGCTCTTACTTATTCAAACTTCACCCAATATAAAACATAGGAACCTCAACAAGAAACCTGGAAGTGTTTCATCTATTAGGCCTTGCGGTTAAAACAGCGAGGACAGATAATCGAAACCCTCCCATTTTCTTTTAATGTTTAAAATAAAAAATACAGCCTATATTTTTCTTTTGAAGTTTAAAATAAAAAATAAAACCATTCATTATTAATTCAATGTATTATATATGGGAAAAATTTATATAGAGCTCTAAACAATCAAATTAGAGCTCATCTCAAAAATTTCATTAGAAGAGGTTATTTCAATACCCAAGTATCTTCAAATTGATCATCTCGACATCAACAAGTATCTTCAAATTGATCATCTCAACATCAAGATGCATGTGCATGAGAAAAAAAATGGATTTCAAGTTTTGAAAATAGTACATCTTGTACTGCATTTTTAGAACCATCAATTTTCAAGATTTTGAAGTTTTAAATTTTATAATTGAATATAAAAATATATTTTAAAGCTATCACAAAGATTTTCAGTATTGAAACTATATTTCTCTACACTATTTGAAAGCGACTTTACTTTGATTGTTTAGAACCTCGGCTCTATACAAACCGCAGCGATTACATAATAACTAAATAAATAACCAATTCAGTCATTAATTTATGTAGTATATATTACCGACATGAATAATCTATTCATCTCAAGGACCAAAATGTTCTTGGGCATTCCCAATCCGGATTGGTGATTTTTAAACATGGATGGAAATGTTGATTACTGTGAAGCGTTACAAAGGTAATAGCAACTCCAATATCCTTGATTTTCAAAAATCACGAATACAAACTTCACGCTTTCGAATGCAAAAGATTCAATTAAAAACCAAGATTTTCTAGAGCATAACTCATTATGTAATTCTATGGCAACCCAAATTCACATAAATTACAACTCTTTTCAATAATCGTCGCCCCAGAGACAATGCGTGGCATGAAAACTGCAAAAGAAAATGGAAATAATAAGTAATGGAAAGAAGAGTTAAAAGAGGGAACATCTGACAGCGCAAAAACAATTGGAACTGAACATAAAAGAGGAAACATCAGATGCAGCAAAAAACAATTGGGACTGAACATAAAAAAACATGCAATTATCGGTCTTGTGCTACACTCACAGAGAGAGAGAGTAGTTTCAACATTCAGATAAGTACAGTTCCCAGACAAGTACATGTAAAAATTACATTCATAAACTTATAATGAAACCCAACCATACTGCAAACATGACCATGACAGCTAAAAGGGAGTAGACAGGTGACTTGCTTTAAAGGACTTACAAAATTAACATTACTTTCGAGCAAAACTACAAGCCCCAATTAACACATCTCCGACACCAACACCCGTATGAGAGGGCTTGTCACCCGGGCAATTCTAAGCAATGTGTACCAGAGGTTGTGTTACATAGACACAAATACATGTGCCGATGACTGACACGGGTGTACGAATCCAAAATGCCAATATTGAAATTCACCTTTCAAACAAGGGACGTCTTCACACCATTTGAAAAAGCGGAAGGTGGCATTTCATGTGACATTAAGAACTTCTATCAAAAGAGTTCAAGAAGAAAGGTCAAGAAGTGTCTGGGTTTTGAAATTTGTCAGACACAGATGTCATGACCTCATGACCTTGATGTGTTGAAACGTGCAAAAAAACCAAGGACGTACTAGTCCATGTCACGTAAAATTGTCAAAGTCACTCCACTGCATTCTAACTGGTGGCAGTACCAAAAAACTTTTGCTTTTGTTAATAGCTGCAGCTTTGAAACTAAGTTCAAAAGCAATAAAGATTAATCAAAGAAATGGCAAAACCACCAACTATAAAAATGTCAAGTGGAAACACGCATTTGGAAGTTAAGCCAAAGCCTAGGAAAATCTCTACCTGCATATATGATACAAGAAGCCATTGCTATTTGAATCAGAGGTCGCACTTGGTAATGCACAACTACTTTGGCAAGTCATGTGTCCTTGCAAGTGTAAAGCATGTTAGCGCACCTACTGTACACATTAACAGGTATTCCATCTGAACTAGATCACATCCGATGACCTCTTTTCATAATGTTTCAGGGAACGCAAAAGGTTGCCGATTCCACACACACACACACAGATTTTCAACTGCAATTCAGAATTAATATCTACTTGCTTGATACCCATTCCGAGATGTCCAACTTTCAGAAATGATCTCCACTTGCTTGATACCCATTCCACACGTATCCATCTAATTTTAATGCAGAATGATCAGTATGGGCTTGTTCCCGATAATCGAAACAAAAGTCACACCTGATACCCCATAATCAATTCCGCAGCTGCACCCATGGCCCTGAATCCCCCTCTCTCCAATAGGGCAAGAGCAAGCTCGTTCTCATTCCATAGTCTAAGCCCTCGGCTCAATCTCTTCAAGGTTTCAAGCTCCACTTCAACCACCCATTTTGGCACACAACTTACAACCAAACCCACAAAAGCAGATACATAAGCTCTCGAAGTGGCCCTATCACATCCAACAGAGATCTTTCCATCAAGAATGCCAGCCAAAAACTCCATGTGGCTCCCAATTACTCTCTTTCGCCTCATCAAAACCGATCGAGAATCAATCCCCCAAGTGAAAGCCCCACACAACACAACAAAGTAAGCAAGAGCATAACCCATCAAGAGTCCAGCCTTTCCCTCGCTCTTCTTTTGAACTGAAGGCTCTCCCGACAAGAACCAAGTGGGTAGAGTCTCTTGGAAAAGCATTTGAACCAAACCTGAGCCCCCTGATAGGGAGAGCAATGAAGCCCCCAATGCGGCAGCTTGCTTCACTCTCACCATTGCCATTCCAAAAGAGAGTTGTCCATATCTCATCCCGTACTTGGCCTTGCTCAGCTTAGCCATTCCCTCCCTATCCATACCATTAGTTGCTATATCCTCAACAGAGGATATCACAAGGGATAGTATCTCTTGGGTCACAAACATGATGTCATGGATGGATCGATAAATTCGAAGGTAGAGGATACCGGGGGCCACAGGTGAGAGGCCATTAGGAGAGTGGGATCCAAAGCCATGGCCAAGAAGGCTTCCGACCCCACCGTTGGTTGATAATGGGGCATTAGAGGGGCCTATAGTGGCATAAAAGCAGCTCTTGAGGAGCTGAGAGACAGCATTGTTGCATTGTTGGAAGACTGTTCGTGATGCCGAGAAAGTGAGGAAATCATTCCATCGCTTGACTTTTTGAGTCCAGAGGGCAGCAACAATGGGCATGCTCGGCCATGGGCAGCCAGCGGCAAGGTTCTCGAGTGCAGGACCTGCGAGGTTGAGGAAGCATTCGGAGGCTTTGTCAAGCTTGAAGGTTATGGTGAGGCTCACAAAGGCAGCTAGAGGCAAGGGAAGTGTGGATGAAGAATTGCTACCTGAAATCAAAATCATATTTGTTAATATTAAGCAAATCATGTCAATCCCTATCGGAGCAACCATGGATAAAGAAGACAGTCCCTTGTTGTAGGTTAAACATTTGCATAAGGGAACAAGTTTACCTCAATTAGAAAGAATCTTAAGTTGAGCTAAGAACCAGTAAGAAAAGATTCGGTAAGGAACAAACAGTGAGAAGAGAAGATGTGCTGAAATCAGTGTGCCAGAGTGTGTCTAGGTGCATGCATAATGTTGAGAAAAATGTGTGAGACAGAACAGTTTCAATACAAACAAAATAAAAACATCCATGGAAACCATTCAAGGTTATCTCATTTTGGTGTCAGTCCAATTTACAAGAGAAAAAAACAATGAAACAAAATAAAAGGTTTCCATCATATTCCTTAAAAGATTTTCATTAGTGGATATTCATTATAAAAACATAAAGATGATAACCTGTGAGAGCATACCAGCGACAGGACTTGGAACATCAACACCAGTGGTACCAACAATCTTCTTCAGCTCAGCTTCAACAGTGGACAGGTTCGCAGCAGGGCTAGGCCAATCAGTTCCATTCATAGAAGCAGGCTTCCAAACACCACGCGTCACCTCCGAACAAAAGTAGATCACCATAGTTGCTACGGAAGCTGGAAGGAAGTCAACAATGTCTTTAAGGCCTGCAAATCCAATTAAGCATTAGAGGCTAGAGACCAGTCATATTTGAAATACGTCTCACAAGTATTTTTATATATGGTGGGAAAATTACAAGAACCATCATAATAACCCAATCTTGGAATCAGGACCAGTCATTTTGAAACCAAGGAAAATTGTAATCACTAACCTGTAGCCAATTCACGCGGTGACAAACGTCCATGAGAACAAGCAGTCAGAGCTGCATCGACGACAAACGGAACAGCTTCTAAGATCTCCCAAGCGGGAAGCATTGGCTTTTGTGAGAGATCTTCACCTCCAGGACCCGAAGAACTACTAATACTACTGCTACCAGATGTTACAGGGGTTATAGACTGATTCCCTCCTTTATTTAGTTTTCTGAACACCATGTTTAGAAGTGCATCTACTATCTGATGAACTGGTGTACCACGCACAAGACCAGAAAGAGTTGAAGCTATACAAGCCTGATGCTGCCTATACCAAATCTTCAACTTAGGAAATGAATCCACAAAAATTGGTTGCGTGTTTGGTGGATTTCCTGTAGTTGAGAGCCTTCGAATCCGGAATTGCTCACGTGGATTATTGTTTCTATCTTTGCCAGAGGAAGCCAATTGAGAATTTCGAACAAGGAGGAGATACTCCGGGGTGAGTTGGGATCCAACAGGAGCACCCTTACCCAATGCAGTATGCTCAAGAGGTGGGCGATTGAACCTCCAAAGCCTCAAGAGCAAAATAAATGCAGTTGAGAACACCATATGAACAGAAATTTGTTCACCAGTGCTTAGTCTCCATGTTATAGAAGGCGCACAAGAACCAAAGGCCTCGCATATTGGCATCAATGTACCAGCCAGTTCAGGAACCTAGCAAAAGATGGTCATGAATATGATTAAGCAAGAAGTCCACAACAGTGAATGAGAGAGAGAGAGATTTTAGAAATATCGAATAATTTTGTTAACAAACTAACCGAGAGTTAAGTAATGTATCTAACCAGAGAAGTTTACCCCACGGTGAGAGAGAGAGAGGGAGGGAGGGAGATGTTCAACGGTCTAGAAATATCGAATAACTTTTAAACAAACTATCACAAAATTTTAATGTATTTAACCAGAGAAGCTGAACCCACCATGCCATGTAGTGAGAAAACATGAACACTGTCCACAGAGGCAATTCCAGTAAGCACACAGTACAGCAAAGGACCAGAGGCAATGAGATGACTCTCATTTCCACAGTAATCTGCTGGGGCAGGGGGTGAGAGCAATCTAACAACTAAACGAACAGCATGTTCCTGCAAAAAGTATATAAAGTCACTAAGAGAACTTTTGAACACTAAATACAGAAGGAATGAGGATGAAAGAGGTGAGAAATGCAACAGCCCCATATGACATAACAAAATGTACATTATAATCCAATGGACTATCCATAAAAGAATCAGAGTAACACAGTTCAGAGAAATCATGGACAGAGATGGAAGAGGGACAAACGAGGACTGGACGTGAACCCAATCGCTAGTCTCGGTTTTTATCCATTATCGTCCATGATTGAAATGGAAGGTGACAACCTAATAGACTATGGATTTTTACAAAGTATTTTTCAGAAACATATTCATAGATAAGCTGATCTTCAGTGTAAGATATATTGAATAATTTTCTGTTTCCGAAAAATAGTCATAAAGTACTAATGCTGGTAATTTTATTCCCCATCCCAAACTGTACTAAAATTTTAAGTTTTGAACATTATCTTCAAAAGTTTAAAATATGCAAACCAAATCAAAACCAGTATAATTAGTTTATGACTTTCTGTGTGCCAGAAGAACTCTCCTATTACCTGAATGTTCCAACCACGAATTAAGGAAGCTCCACAAAGAATCATTGCAGCAGATATCCTATCATCGTCCGACCCGCTGATTGCAATGTCAGATATTTTCTCGAGCTCTGCTAAACTTCCATAAAATCCATGAGCAATTCAGTGGGTTTCCCCTGAGTAAATTTGAGAGGAACATCTAAACATATATGAACTTAGAAAAGAACTAAGATATGCACCAAGATGAGAACACTAGGAAGGACATTGCTGTCTTAAGAAAGTAAGTATTCAGTCACTTAAAGAGACACTACATCTCCCCACTTATACTGAAAGATGAAGTTTATAATTGCCTTTCGTTGAATTTACTTGCAAACCTAGAAGTGACCCATCCAGAAAAAGAGAAGCAAACACTTTAACCAAACCTCATATAAAATATCCATCTTGTTTGATAGTTTAGAACAAAAAGCCCGGAAATAATGTAGAAATATACCTTGAAGCAGGAGTGGACACCAAAGCATTCACCATTAACTGGGTTAATGGAGCCCCCTTCATCAAAGCAGACCAACCAGGCATTTGGCCAGGCATAGTATGAGATATTTGATTCATGTGCCCCTTAACATAGCCAGGCCAATAATACACTGATGTGTCTAATAAATTTCTCGCAATGCAAGCCTCCACAATCAGATGCCGCATGTTTCCAGCTGCCAAGTGATTTTTTCAAATTTAGTATCTTTTGTAGACTGAATAAGGGAAGCAGTAACAATAAAAACCATTTATAGCATTAGTCCAAACAAAATTGAAAAAAATAAAGGAATACGAGAAATGGAAAGGCAACATATGCATGGCTGAGCACTACTTGCGGCCAAATCCAGAATTGTCAAATTTTGGCCTCATTTCAAGGTATGTACCATTTTGGAAATAGTTGCAGTCCACATTATCTTAAAGTCACAAATCCTTAATAAAAATCAGAGAACCAAATTTGTATCACTTAGGCCTCAACCATCTCTATAAATGCCCAAAGAACAACAATTACATTAAATGCTCACCCTCTAAAATACATCCTCACTCTCCATCTCCTTTTCTCAAATGAACGAAGTGCTCATGTATTCTATAAATGACCAAATGTAGTTAATCTAAAATAAGAAATCCAAAATTAGCATTAATTAGGCCTCAATCATCTCTATAAATGCCCAACGAACAACAACTACATTAAATGCTCACCCCCTAAAATACATCCTCACTCTCGATCTCCTTCTCTCAAATGAACAAAGTGCTCATGTATTCTATAAATGACCAAAGCGTAGTTAATCTAAAATAAGAAATCCAAAAGTAGCATTAATTATACATAAAAAGACAAACCAAAAATTGCATATCCCAAAAGATGAATCAAGGTTCACTTGGGGAGCATTTGAGGTATTACTTACCACAATTGACTGGCATGTCATTCACGCTAATGCCATCAAAGTACCCACTCCCAACTTTAAGGCCTGATACAAACATCATTGCTTTTGCAGCGGCTTGATTGGCAACACAAACTACAGATTGAGGGGGTGCAAGCAGGCCCTCAAAATCTCCTAGCATTTGCAAGCAAGTGATCAAATCTCTACGGCGCTTCCCAACAACTTTTTCTTTTCTTAGAACATTGGAGTTGGTTTCTACATTTCCATTAAGAAGTTCCTCCTCTTCCTCAATGATGTCAACTATAGCAAGTGTGGTGATTGATAATAAGATGCACAAACGTGCATCAAGGCGAGGAACAGGACCCTCGATAGGATCTCTTTCCTACAAGAAATGGAAAAAGCAATGACAAAAAAAAAATCAAGAAATGTATTCATAAAGATCAAATCAATGCGGTCAATTGAGGTCCCTCCTCCCTCTCCCTCATTGCTTACCCTCTGCACAAGTCGAAGAGCAGCCATCCACAAAACTAAGAATGTCTCATGCCATGTGGCCCCATTGACAGCTTGGAGGGACTTCACCAAATCTGTAAGAGACCATTCAAACCTACCCCATGAGACATTTGCACAGAATTAAACTTTCTCTCGCACTGAATGTCATTCAGAAGTTCCAAACCTTATAAAATAATGAAAGGGAAAGCCGACTGTAATACAAATGATTATGGTCTACCATTGTCAGTTGCAGAACAGTTTCCTCCTAATCAAATACAAGCAAGAGTGTGAATCATCCTGAATGGTTTACCAGCAAGAATTTCAATGGCACATGTAGCTGCAACTTGAGATCCATCCATAGCATCTTCCAAGAATAGATCTATAGGAATCCAAAGTGCAGATCGACTAGCCCCATGGCCATGACCAGAAGATATTAGAGGACCGGAGTCGATAAGTGCAGGGGTTGCCTGGTGTTGACTGGGTTTAAATTCTCTATCAAAGATCCTCTGTGCATATGCAGACAACAGAGAAATAGTCCCAGGTGCTATATTCCTCAATGATGACGTTTTTGACTCTAATAGTTGCAAGCGCTGAATGAAACCTCCCCAATGCATAGGCCTACAACATAAGAAAGAAACTACAATTCAAGAACTTTAACAAGCCAATCAATTCAGATTCTAAAGGTTGATGTTATGTACTTTGCACACGAAATCAATAATAAAACTACAACAAGGATGTATAAGTAAACCGAAGAAGATGGACTGATGACATGGAAATAATAGATAATGAAAATGTTAACCATCATTAAAGCATGCCTACATAAAATAAGATGAAGAACTATACCAAGAAGGAAAGTGCAAAAGGCAAATTATTACATGTTTTGACATGCCAAGCGAAGTAAGCTTGAAGTGAGTCTATGTTGCAAAAACTGTCCAATCAGCTCAATGGTAAGTGATGTATTAAGTTTCCTTAGTTTTTCACAATAATCTCTTCTTCTCCCATCAATGCTTTCTACATCAATCTCCATAATATCTTGTTGCGCAATGGTTGGTGTGAACCTTTTATCTAACTTGAGGTCTAGCAAACCCTCATCTTCCAATATTGCATCAAGCAACAGAGAAACAACCGTGAAAACAAATTCAACTACCACTTCACCTAGTCCCGCAGCTTGAATACCATACGTCTGGGAGAGATGAAGAGCATCATCAACAGATTTTAAGAGCCTGGGTATGGCATAGAAAAGTCAAAGTTGTGTTATTAGTACAAAATAAAGCCACCAAAGCAACAATAACCTGAAAATTTTCCTCTGTGCAATTCATAGAAGTTTGATGCACAATTGTATAGCTAGTATTAAAATTATTTTTAATTTTAATAAATGGGCACTTGATTATCTAGCTTTTTATTATAGAAATAGTTAATTAAAAGCAAAGACAATCCAAAAATAAAAGAAAATACTCATGCAAAAACAAGTACTATATGCACTCCCTAAGACAAAGCAGACACAATTTTGCACTCACTTAAGATAATGGGGACCATTAAATTGAGATGAAAATGAGAAGGAATGCCTCTTGAGGAGTTCAATATACAATCTATACGCCTCAGGATGGAAACATCGGCTGGGTATCACCCTGCAATAATACATAAGCTCTTAGTCCACAAAAACTGTGCAAAATGTTGTTCTCTATAACTGGAAAAGAAAAATAAAGAAAACAATGAGAAAATAATTTGTGTGCTGTTAGTGTTAGCCAAGTAGTGCATTTTTAATATCAGCCATGAACACTATGTTGTGAACGGGAGACATAAAACAAATACAAGTTGGCATTTGAAGAGATAGCTTACGAAGAAACACAAAAATTGGACCACATTCATTAAGGTATAGTCAAAGTCAAACCAATCAAACAGAAACAGAATAACTGGAATCAAGAAGATCTTTTGTCTAACTGAACCAGTATTGGATAATGATAATCAATACCATCCAAATGCACTGGTCATATCAGATCACATAGTACATCAAGGAAATAGAATCTTAAAAATATAAAGAATTAGCCCATTATTTTCTTGGCATGGCTTCTCTCTCTGTCTCTCTATTTCTTTTCTTTCTATTTTTTCTGGTGGAATGCAACCATAGGGCAGCATTTATTATTCTACTTTTCCAATATTCTAGGAACCAATTCACCTAATGGTCATATTTCATAAAGAAATCAAATGATCCCCTTTACTCAAACTCATAACATCAAAACAAGGTAGATATCTATATCAAGTTGGGATTGAATTGGGGCCGCAAATGCTTTTTTTCGTTCTTTTCGGCCAGCTTGGCATACAATGATTCTTTGCTGTCTGAGGCATCAATTTACCTACTAAAATAGCACCCGTTTCCACCCAAGATCCAAGCATCACAATTCCATTTCTGTTTAAATTACAGAGCAAATGAGCTTCAACAATCTTTGGGGGATCCAGAAATCAAAAAGGAGAGCGACAAGAAGTCAATATATCAAAATATATTACAAGAACATCGCAAATACTCTGGCGTCCAATTGAAAGAATATTGAACCATACGTAAAGTCATAAGCAACAGCAATTCAAGAATGATTTTCAAGAATAACAACCCATAAAGCAAAATGAACGCAAGAATTCACTAAACACTAACTACTTACTCAAAAAATAAGAGCAGAGAGTAAACCAACATAATCCAAGCCGATCACAGAGCAAAAATAAAGTTCACTAACCAATCAATGAATCAACAAAGAATTAACATCAATAACTAAATAAACAATCACAAGAAAAGATCATTAACCAATCAACAGAGAATTAACATCAGGTATCGAAATAAACAGTCACAATCAGGGTCAAGCAAATAAAAAGACTAAAATCAACGGGGAGAGAAAGAGAGAGACCTGGAAGAGAGAAGAGAGAGCACAACAATTGGCGGAACAAGCTTTGAAGTGATGGCTTCTTCGAGAAATTTCCAGGCCTGGGGAACATTATTGGACCAGCAAATGTGAGAGACGAGGAGGTGGGCGAGATCAACACTCGGTAGAGAGACTGCAGAGGAGTTTAGGAGCTTGCAGACATGGAGAGCCCACAAGAGAGGAGCCTCCCCCTTCAACTGTGAGCTCTTGGTAACATCAAGTATGCTTTCCCATACATCTTTTGGAGCACCCATCACAGTCCCTGGAGCATATGGTGCTTTGAGCTGGGAATTCTCTCTCCCTCCTCTCTCTCTC